TCATCCCCAAAATCCTCGGACATTGCCCCTTGCTCCGGTGGCATCTCTGCCCTCCCGTCTCACCGGGATCGGGGATGTTCTGCCCCGGCCTTGGACACTGCTGGGGCTCACCGTTCCCCTTCTGCCCACCCTGGGGGGGTTCCTGGTAGGGATCTGGGATGTCCCACCAGCCCTGGGTGGCGTGGGTGACATCTGGGGACAGGAAAAATGGAACAAAATCGGATTGAACCTTTTCTGGGAGCACCCACCCCTCACCAGGGGTGGCTGGGGGGTGTTTTGGGTCCCTCTGGCAGCTCCTCTCCGTGCCCACATCCCATGGGAATCCCTTACCCGAGCGTCCCGGGGCTGGGTGTTCCCCCTTTTCCCTGGCCGTTGGGGGAACAGCCGCTCCCTCTCCTTCCCAACCTCCCTCTCCTTCCCAACCAGCTCTTCTCCATGTGGCTGGATCCGGTGTTTCCCCCCCCAGGGGCTCACCTTCCCACTGCCTCTTCTCTTTCAGCGGCCTCATCCCCCGGCTCCTCGGGGACATCCTTTCTCTCTGGCTCTGCAACATGCTGGCCTACCTCATCAACACGTACGCGCTGGAGAACGGGGTACGGGCTCCCCGCCCTGCTCGGGGGGGCTGGGAGGGGGGCACGGTGCCATCGCTGACGGCGGAGGGGGCTCAGGGGGTGGTCTGAGGTGGGGCAGGACCCTGCCCGTGGCTCTGTGAGGGTTGAAAGTGCCTTTTCTCCTCCCGCAGGTCTCGACCATGACTGAGATGAAGAGCTACTCGCAGGCAGTCACTGGAGTGAGTGCCCCCCACGGCGGGGTGGGGGTGGGACGTGTGTCTCCCTGCGGGGGGGAGGGGGAAGAAGATTGAATCCTCTTTCCCTGTCCCTGGAATCCCGCTGCTGGGCTGGGGAGCAGAGCTGGGCGCTGCCCCAGGATGAGGGGAGGGATCCCTAGGTGCCTTTCGCAGCCCCTCAGACACTGAGGCTCCACTTTTGCCCCACGATTTCATGCTCCCTCTCACCAGAGCAGGTTAAAAATCCCAGCTTTCCTGGCCCCACACGGAGACAGAGGGAGGGGGCTCCCTCCTGGGGTGTCCCTGGGGATCTCTGGGGGTTGGAGGGAAATGGGGGGGGG